GGAGGGAAGGTTTAAGTTGGACATCAGGAGGCGCTACTTCACGGTCAGGGCGGCTAGGGTCTGGAACCAGCTTCCAAGTGAGGTGGTGCAGGCTCCCACCCTGGGGGTTTTTAAGAGGAGGTTGGATGACCACCTTACTGGGGTCATTTGACCCCAGTGCTCTTCCTGCCATGGCAGGGGGTCGGACTAGATGATCTGCTCAGGTCCCTTCCGACCCTAGAAACTATGAAACTATGAAACTAAGTTTGCTGCTGAATCTGGACCGATGACAGGCAGCAGAGGCAAAGCTAGCATGCAATGTCCTAGATGCCCATTCTTGTGCCAAACTCACCTCCAAGCAGGTGCATCGGATGCAGTACATCAGCCCTTGAGGCTCCAGGTAAGGGTGCCAGCTCTCTCCTGGACTGTACTTCTTGCCGTTAAAGTCACAGAACATACCTGGATCTGTAAGTCGAGAAGTGGACACCATGTCAGAGAAGAGGTTTCCCTTAGAGAAGCATCCTCTTCCCCCCAGGAGATCAGCAGAGCTGAGTGCACACTTCCTAATGAACAATGTATTGATAGTGGGACTTTCAAGAGCACCCAGGAGAGTCAGGTGCTCAGATCCTAACTCCCACTGGCTTCTTTGAAGATCCTTAAACTCAATGGATTTCATCTTTCCTGCTGGCAGGTGGTGACTCTTTGGGCTTTATTCATTATTCAAGGTTATTCCACAATGTTTTTCACAAATTGTGTTTTACCCTGTCGGCTTATCCTTCCAAGAGGGTATTGCACTGCTTCACCCTTGGTCATAAAAATGATGATTGGTCATAAAAATCACCTAGCATTGTTTCTGCTCCTGGATTGGCCAAAGGTAATTCTGGCACATCCATTCTATGCTTTGCTTTGTGAAGACCTCTCCCACACTACAGTAATTCTCCTAGAGCCGACTACATAGGCTCCTGGTCTGCTTTGGGGTGGTACATTTGGAAAGTGGATACCATGGAGGATCACATCTTTAAGACTTTACAAACAGAAACAAAGAATCGTAGGAAATGAGGGTTGGACCTCAGGTCATTTCTAGCCCAACCCCCTACTCAAGGCAGGACCAGCCCCATCATCCCAGCCAGGGCTTTGTCCAGCTGGGTCTTAGAAACCTCCAAGTATGGAGATACCACCACCTCTTTGGGCAATGTGTTTCAGTGCTTAACTACCCTCCTAGTGAGAATTTTTTTCCTAACATCCAACCTCAACTTCCCTTGTTGCAACGTGAGCCCAGTCCTGTCGTCTGCCCCCACTGAGAACAGTCCAGCCCCATCCTCTTTCAAACCCCACTTCACGCAGTTGGAGGCTGCTATTCAATCCCCCTCGGTCATCTCTTCTGCAGACTCAATCAGCCCAGTTCCCTCAGCCTCTCCTCACCAGTGATGTCCCCCAGCCCCCAACCATTTTCATTGCCCTCCGCTGGACTGTCTCCAGTGTGTCCACATCTGGACACAGGACTCCAGATGTGGCCTCCCCAATGCTGCATAGAGGAGAATAATCACTGCCCTCGATCTGCTAGCAACGCTCCTACCAATGTAGCCCAGGATGTCGGTAGCCTTCTCGGCAACAACGGCACACTGCTGGTTCCTATTCAGCTTCTTGTCCCCTGTCCCCCCCAGGTCCTTTTCTGCAGAGCTGCTGCCCAGCCAGTCACCCCCAGCCCACACCAGTGCATGGGATTGCTTTGTCCGAAGTGCAGGACTTTGCACTTGTCCTTGTTGAACCTCATGAAATTTCTTTTTGCCCAATCCTCCAATTTGTCCAGGTCACTCTGAATCCTAGCCCTACCCTCCAGCAAATTGTTTTTATTGGTTTGCAAACATACAGGGGAGGGCAAACACCTGGAAAGTGTGAAGTGTCTTCCACAAAAATTGGTATAAAAAAATGCCCCAAAAAACCCCCAAAAGCACCTTTTCAAAATAAATGTTTCACCTGCCCAATGTGCTAATATGAACTAGGTATCCAGGTTGTAGCTGTATTGGTATAAAGAAAAAGGCAACCAGGACTCATAGTTGAGATGATATCTTTTATTAGACCAACAAGATTTTTGCAAAAAAATTAAAGAATTTTTTTTTTTTGGCAAAACTCTTGTTGGTCTAATAAAAGATATCATCTCTACTACAAGTCCTGATTGCCTAATATGAACTAATGTCTTGGCAGAAATGTCTTCAAACAGGTACTAAGTGAAGCTGTGTCAGCAGGTGGAACAGAAGAGTCCCGGCCTGGAGCACCTTACCGCATACACAAGATAGCTCTCTCATCCCCTCCGCCTCCATCAGCGTTAAACCTTCTCGGCGCACAGATTGCAGACAAGATGATTTGTATCACCGTTGTCACTTCACAGACTAGGGTGCCCCCAGCAGAGACATGGCTTCAGAGGAAACAGACTGACTCTTCCTAGGCACAATAGACCCGTTCCATCCCTCGAGCATCTTTCAACAGAGCCATCTGGCATCTCCTCCGTGCCTGGTGGGTGTCCAAGGAAGCCCAACTCTATAAGCAGGAAACTGCTCTTCCCCACTGCTTTATAACAAGCTGGGGAATCGCTGAAGATTTAAACATAGCAGGCCAGATTCATCCCTGCTCTATCACACTGGAGTAGACCCAGCTCATGCTGGTGTCACCCCACTGAGGTCTAGGTACCACCGAGGAACGTGGCCCAGCATTGAGGATGTCTGTGCTGCCAGGGTGGTGAAAAGAGTCTGGGTGCTCCTGGGACTGGAATATGCAAGGTTGGCAAGGGGGGCCAGCTGGATCCAGCATGCAAGGCCATGTCATCTGGTCCACAGGCTTCCCAGGGGCCATGCCCAAGCGCAAGGCAGGCTATGAGCCCTTACCCTGCCAGCGCAACTTGCTGTGGAGCAATCCTGCCCCCGACCATGCTTCCCGATGCAGTAGAAAGGAGGCCACAACCACAGACCTCCTGCCCATCAGCCTTTCCATCCACCTGGCAGGGGGCTGAAGTTGGTGGATACACCTCAGGCCTGCGTCCAGCCCTGACTGGCATTTGGGAAAAGATCAGCAAGGTTTTCGTTTGGATATGCCACCACCTTGAATGGGATTTCTTGTGCCCTTGGCAGCTGCCTTGTTAGAGACAAGAAAGGACAAAGACCCCTTCTAAGCTTAGCTGGCCTATCAAGCTAGTCTGGTGAAGGGACACCAAAACAGCACGCCTAGAAGGGCTCAAAAACAGCACAATAAGCAGACGATGCAAGGTCAAGAGATACATGGGAGGGGTAGTTCAGACTGAGTCCTCAGGGTCAACCCTAAATATCGACGTTGACAAGCCGTTAGCCTCAGTTCCATGTTTGCAAAAATGAAGAAAGCAATTCCATCCCATCTATTAGACACTGAAAACATGATCCCTCCCGAGGGTCCTCACACCTGGGGAGAATCATTAGCTTCCTTCTCATGGCAGGGTTGTGGCTCTGTTGCTCTGCTGCAGCATGGACTAGAATCTGTTTCATCCAAGTTCTCAGTACAGAAAATAGGAATGTCCCATTGTCATACCAAGGTGTGAAACAAATGCTTTCCCCCGCCTCAAAATGTTAATGATTGCAGAAGAGCTAGACCAACATTTCTGACTGAAAATTGTTCTTCCAGGCAAACCTTTTTCAGTTGAAAATGGTCAGCCAAGAACTAATGGAAACTCGATGCTCATGCCTGGAAATGAGCAAGCATAACAATTGTATTTGTGATCAATTGAAATTTTCCACAGGGAGAAAGCCATTATATGTTGCAGAAACCTGAAAGCTATAAACCCAACTCTGCTTCCCTAGATATCTACACCAAACCTCTGCTTGACTTGAATGGGAAAATTGACCAAGGAGGTTAATACGGGTTGGATAATTATCATAGGATCAGAGACAAACAGGGCTAGAAGGGACCTCAGGAGGCCATCTACTCCAATCCCTTGCTCAAGGCAGGGTCATCTCTGTCTAAACCATGTCAGCCAAGTCTAACCTGGTCTTAATAACCACCGAAGAGGGTTATTAACCACAACTGCTCTAGGTAGTCTGTTCCGATGCTTAACCACCCTCATAATGAGAAATTTTTTCTAAGATCCACCCTAAATTTCCCTTCTTGCAATTTAAGACCACTGTTCCTTGTCCCGTCTTCTGTCGCCTCCGAAAATACTCTATCACTATTCTCTCTCCAACCGCCCTTAAAGGATCTGAAGGCTATCAGCTCCCCCCCGCCCCACCCTCAGTTTTCTCTTCTCCAGGCTAAATGACCCCAGGACTTTCAGCTTTTCTTCGTAACTTATGTTTCCAAGACCTCCAATCATTTTTGTTGCTGTCTGCTAGATTCTTTCCAATTTGTCCCCATCCTGAAGTGCCATGCCTAAAACTAGACACAGGGCAACAAGTGAGGCTTCATGAGGGCTGAACTGAGTAGCAGAGTCACTTTTCATGACTTGCAAGCAGCACTTCTTTTAATACAACCTAGCATTGGTTTATCTGGCAACTAGAGCACATTCTGGCTCACGTTCAGCTTGTCCACCACAGGCCCTTTTCTGCAGTACCGCAGCCTCGCCAGTCATTCCCCATATCCGTGCATGTGACTGTGCCATCCCAAGTGCAGGACTTTACACTTGTCCTTACTGAATTTCATTCAGTGGACCTTGGACCATTTTCCCAGCGTATTGAGGCCCTCTGCATCCCAGTCCTGCCCTCCAAAGTGCCCACCACTCTACCCAGTTTATGAATAACTGAAAAACCAGCTGGTGCACATGCCCAAAAGAAAACGTGATCCAACTGCTCTTCCTCCCGATAGTAAAACGTATTGCACATGATTACTCTGGTCTCGCTAGGCCCATGCAAAACTGGAGCACACTCCGCCAGTGCTAATGGGATGGCTCCAGCTCTATAGTGGGGTAACTGAGCAGTGACCTCAACTAGGGCTGGGTGAGTGGTTGCCATCACCAACTCAAGCAGACACCACCCCTGCCCTGGCCACCGCCACTGTCCAAGGTGCAAATAGCACCTCTGTAACAGAGATGAGCACATGGCCCTGTTTGCTCACATCGGCGTGCATCACCCAGCACCAGTCAGCCCCCGAGACTGAGAGTGGTTTGTGCTCTTTCATGAATAAGTCTTTCCTTGTCAGTGTATGTCATTAGTGGTTTAAGTGCTTAAAGCCACACTAAATATTTAATGGGATTTAAAAGGTTATGTCACTGAGAGGATTTGAGTGGCTCAGGTGATTATGTTGCCATAAGGCAGCTGAGGTATTTATGCTACCTTATGAATTTACAGGGCCTCAAATTCCACCTCCCACTGCTGGGGGGGACTTCCAGGGCTGCAGGGGGAGAGAAAGATCTTTATTTTCAGAGGCACAGAGCCCAGCTCCCCCTGCCTGGGTGCCCAAGTGTCCTTGGGGTGAAATCTGGGTCCGTGGAAGCCAGCGAGAGATTTGGCGTTGATATGCCATGGATTATGCTGCACTTGTGGAACGAGTAG